CCACAACTGTGCTAAACATATCCCAAATCTGCAAAAATTACAACTTACCTCCTTTTCTTTTGAGCAAGATTAAGTTCCAGAAATTTATACTTCTGATACTGCTCATCCAACTTCTTAAGAACTACATCTGCTGTCTCATTTCCAGGCTGTTTCATAAAAGAATCTACATCTTCCTTTAAGGGGAGAAAGAAACCCTCAGTGTTAGAAGAGTTTTATGGAAATTCTAGACACAGACATGCTATCATCTTACTGCAGCTACGTATCTAGAGTTTGAAACGTAAACAAACTTTTTTCCTGGACTGGAGTACAAAAGCATTTTGTTTCTTTTCTTAGTCATCTCTTCATTTCCCTCTCCTTCCCTTTTTTGTAGGAACTAAGGGATAGGTGCAAGGATTACTTCATAACCATATTTGTGGGTACATGGTTAGTGTGCTTTCAGTCCTGGCTGATGACAAGTGACACCTCACAGGGCTGGGTATCCATGGAGCATGGCTAAACCTGGGTTCCCTGCCTGTACAGCAGGGACAATGCTTCTCTGTGGCTAACCAGGTTATGAACTATTTTGGATACAACTGATGAAGGAAAAGAGCCTGATCAAGCATGTTGTGGCAGAGAAAGATGCACAGGGGGGAAAACTGAGGTATCTGCTTGCACAGGCACTATGGAAGTGAACAGCCTGGTTTCAAAGGCTCCTTCTATAGTTAGCAGGAAGCCACAAAAGCCTCTAGAACAACTCCAGCCAGTCCTACCATCAACTGACAGTGAGAGCCATGGGACTGGCAGGAAAAGCTGCCAGAGAAGAAAGGCCTGAGTCAGCAAGGATGCCAGCCTTGGCATGTGCCTCCTTCAGAAGCCCAGGAAGCAGCTCCGTGCTGGGGGCCAACGTTCCCAGCTGCTAAAGGCACATCAGGCCAGGGACCAGCCATGTGTTTCTGGCCTGGGCACCACATACACACAAAATTCCAGACAACCCCACTCTCCCACTGAGGTAATTCTGCCCTTGTCTCCATAGCTCAGTAAAATCTGATGGAAGCCCCACCACAGGCCTCTTCAGCTCCTCCTTTTGAACTTGGAGTCTCCATTCCAGAAGCAGACTGTAATATGTTACTAAAGTGATCTCAGACATGGAGCTGGCTCCCCCTCATTATGAATGCCTTAACTCTCTTGGCTAAAGAAACTTACTAGGAAATTAGTGAATCTGGTAAGAAGTCCCTGCCTTCCTTATCATGAAGGAAATCTGTAGCAGAACACGAACTCCACAACCTGCAGCAGGCAGCCCTGTCCAGGTGGTAGATCCAAACTCAAGAGACCACACCTCAGCCTGCCTGAAAAATGCCTCGAGCTACCTCAGAGCCAGGGAAGCATTCCTGCCTCTGGATAAAGCTCCCAGAGAAGCCTTCAACAAAGAAAACAAGGATTAGGTTTGGGAAAGCATTGAAGTGAGGCCTGAGGATACTGTGAAATGAAACTCCCTCTTGTGGAAGCAGCTCTGCTTGTCCAAACCACGCAGGGCAGAGCAAAAGCAGGTGGGCAGCAGCTGCCCCCACACCCTGCCTGGCACCCAGCTCTGCCTCAGCTCCCATCTGTCAGCACAGGGACAGGACACAGTGCACATCCTCCTGAAACAAAGATGCTGGGAAGTGATTCCAGAAGTAAATCCAGGCCCTCTATATACTGGTGATCTCCTCCCACTGCATACTGTCCCAGTTCAAGGTGAGCTCAGATTTACCCCCAGGGTTTTCCAGCTGGGGCTTCCAAGCCTGCTGCTCAGGCTCTTGTCCCACCTCCCCACTGGCAAGGCTGAGGCACAGTCACTTCTTTAAGCTTGATCAGAACAGCTCTGAGGTGCCAAAGCCACCAGGATCCTCACTTTGTGGTGTATTCCACAGCACCTCCACTGCAGAATTCTTACAACACTTACAGGTTCTGCAAGGACCTGCCAGAACTCCTCTGTATCTTTTTTAGGAAGAGAATTCACTGGCAAAGCACCATTTGGCAAACTTCAAGCCAAGCCACAGGAATGCTCTGTAGAAGCCCTGAAGTTCAGCAGGATGGAGCATTCCCACGTGTCCCTAGGGTTCTCTTCTGAGTGATGACCCAAATAAAGAGCTGCAGGCACTCACTCTGCAGAGAGCTTCATCACCTGGGGACCTGTGCAGAGAACACAACAAGAGACACATCTCTGCAGAGCTGCATCCTCACACCTGCTGAAGAAGGCAGAACAACGAAGGCATTTCATTTGGAAATGTCTGAGCTCAAAACCACCACAGCTGAAAGTTCTGTTCTGAGAGTTTCTTATCCAGCAAAACCCTGTCTTAACACTAGCTGCTCTGAGTGCTCAACATCACCTGAAACCTGGAGAGGGGCAGGAGTGTACAGAACAACTGCCTCAGAGAAGACACGAGCCATAAATGGTGTGAGGAGCCTCTGCTGAACCAAGACACTCACAGGAAACATCTCTGAAGACAAGACTCACAGTAAGACTGCCCATGCAGCATGGGGGGAAATGCCAAGCAAGAGATCAGGAAGTCTTTAAATGTTTTTGAAACAGAAACCTATTTTCTGAAATAAAAAAGCTCTAGTAAAACCTACCCTCAAGACAGTGATATTTTCACTCTGCAGAGCAGAATACCATTACAACTTCTCAGTGCAGGCTTATTTTGAATGAAAGAAAGTCTGTTCTACCACCTACATCCAAGTACTCTGTGATCACCACCGAGGAGCTCTTCTGCAGACACACCTGTACCTGATCAGAGCACCTCTCCAAACAGAGTTAGGAAGCTTCCAAGATGTTCAGATCCAGAGATTGTGAAGATCCACAAGGTTCTGAAGAAGAGAAGCACAGTACTCTTGGAGCCACGTGACACAGCACACAAGACACTTCAGACAGGCACTGAGAGGAAACGAATGGAACCAAACACAGCAGCTACAAAGGCAGCCACCAGCACGGAGTGAGGGATGTGACAGAGGCCCTTAAAGTGCTTGCTGAGGCTGTTCAGGTCCTGCCTCCTGCCAGGGTGGCCACCTGCACTGCAGAGTCAGCAGAGACCACAAGCTGTGCTCTGTCAGGACGGGCAGCTGAAGACACGGCCCTTCCCCTGCACTTTGATCCCTGATGGTCTCTCATGAGGCATGGAAGGAAGCTAGCTGGAAGAAGCAATGGTTCCCAGCCCAGTAAGGATTTGCCACATCCTAATTACTGTTTAAAAACCTTAAAGGAAAAGGAGGAGCTGGATCACTGGAAGTCAATGCACTGTACCTGTCTGGTCAGGTCCTACACCCAGACAAGGCACATCAGCAGAACAAGCACTGCATCCAGAAACAGCAAAATGCAAGTCAAACAAATTTATCTCTGCAAAAGCAGTTGTATCAGATGGGGCAGACATCCAACACTTCCCAAGATCCCCAAGGCAGGTAGGGACAGCCACTGGGATCAATAGCTATCGATCAAAGGAAATAAAACAGCAATCAAGACTGTACCAAGAGTGAGCTCACAGTGAAAGGGGACAACAGATGATGGTGAGATTATGCCACTGCACAAATCACTGACTCCTGCTTTTCAACCCCTCACCAGAATCACCAAACCCTCGGTACATCAGTTTTTAAAGCTGGATAAACAAGTTCGGCCTGTTTTCCAGAAGATACACATTTGCTGGTTTTCAAGAACACATCGGCGCTTCTGAACAGTGAATCTCCTCGGCAGTGTAAAAGTGGATCAAGAGGCGAAGATGCGGGGACAGCTGCTCGGAGCGGGGCGCGTTACGGCGGAGCAGGAGCGGCGCGGCCGCCCCGCCCGGAGCCGCTCCTGCCGAGCCGGCACCCGAGCTGCCGCTGCGGGAACGCCCTCTCGGCATCCGAACAGGGCCCCTCACCCGCGAGAAGGCCCAGGGCCGAGGCCGTGAGGGCCTCACCCGCGCCCCGGGTCCCGCCCGCCTCACGGGGCCGCCTCGCGGGGCCGGGCCGAGCGCAGCCCCCACTGCTCGCTCCCCAGAACGCCGCCTCGGGATGCCCAGCCCCGCTCCCCGGAACAGCGCCTCAGGGCTGCCCAGCCCCGCTCACCACGAACGCCGCCTCAGGGATGCCGAGCGGGCCGCGCTTCCCGCCCGCCGCCGCCGCCTCGCTGCCTCCGGCCGCCGCCATTTGGGAACGGACGGTGCATGCGCGGCGTGCGCCCCTCGGCGTCATCACGTCAGCGCCGCGCGAGGCGCGCTGGGCGGGGCCGTGGCAGCCCCGAGCACCGCCCATTGGCCCGTGGGGATGAGGAGGCGGGGCTGGAAGGGGCGGCTCCGCCGTGAGGGGCAGGGCTCGGTGTGAGAGGGAAAGGCTCCGCCGTGAGGGGCAGGGCTCGGTGTGAAGGGAAGGGGAAGGCTCCGGGAGGAAGGGGCAGGCTGCCCTATGAGAAAGGGAAGGCTCCGGCAGCGGGGGCTGCCTGCGGTGGCCGCAGCTGTGAGTGCCTTGCCTGCCGCGTCCCGGGAAGGAGATGCCGCCTATCCCAGCCCCTGCTTCTGCCTGCGCAGAAAGCGCCCTTGCTTCTAAACGCAGCTGCTCTGCCTCTCCCCCAGCGTGGATGACAGGCCAAACGGGAGCACTGCCTTTAACGGTTTGCAGTAAATATTTCTAAAGGATCAGCGGTGCTGCCTCGCCGCCAGCTCGCTGAATCCCCGCCAGGCCGAGCCCCGGAGCCTCGGCCCGGAGACGGAGACAACGCGAATGAACTACTGTGTAATCCAAGGTCACAACTGAAAACATCTCTGAAACCCAAATAAACAAAAATACAACTGTTGAAAATAGAGTTTTCTGAGGTAGAAAGAGGAGCAGCTGCAGCAGCCCGGGTCCCTGCCCTGTCCCAGGCAGACTCAGCCGAGGCTCAGCCTCCCTTCTCCTCTCCAGGGTACACACAGAGGTGGAATCAGCCAGCTGAGCACCCTGATTCAGCCATGGCTTATAGGCATTACAGAAAGCCTTAAGCCCCAGAACACAAAAAACGATCACATACACACGCCTTGCATATGCCAAAGTTTATTTTTTTCCAAAACTTGTTTCATCAAATATGTGGATATGAGCAATTTTTTAAAAAATGAACAATTTGCATATTAACAAATTGTGAAGTTCCACAATTAAAATATCAACACAGCCAGTCTTGTGCTTAGGCTTATTTTTTAAAAAATTCATAGAACATAAATCCTTAGATTTTTTTCCAGTTTGTGGCTAGTATATTTTCCACACATTCTGTATTCTTATAAAATGAAGGAACTCACAGAAAGGAACAGCTGTACAAGAATACATCTGAAAAAAAGCAACCTAAATTATCATAGCTCCTTTTAAATAAATATCCAATAAAAGGCACAAACCTGTTATGGGGAAAAACATAACATACAAAACAAGACCTATTAAATAAATAAAGTGTGGGTTGAGGTGAGGGAAATCTGTTCCAGCACCTATTTTGTCATTGCTCCAAGATGAGATTCCAGCCAAACATTTGGTAAAGGATTAAGCTTAATCACCAGGATACACATCTGAGATATACTGAAAGATTTGACGTTACAAGTCCTGTTGTAACTGTACCAGTTACTACAATCTCTTCAAATAAATGATCATGAGAATCTGCATGAAGTAGTGATGCAGCAATGTACAGATCAATGAAAGTCAGATACACCTTCAGAGTCATAGCAACAGGTTTTCTCTAGTCCTAGCTATCAGTAATGTATAAATGATAACATGTACAGTTTCCATTGCTCAAAAATATAATCTTTTCAATGGAAATAAACGACTGATACAGTGCCTTTAGATGTTATCCTTACAATACAAACTACCCCAAACAAAGTTTTCCTTTTTATGTACAAATTAAGCACCGATCCACAGTGCATACTATTCTAATTGTAACCCCCCCATCCCTGCCACACATCAAAATATCCAGCTGGGGATAGATACACCCTGTATTCAATCTTGTAGTCAGAAGTTTTGTTGTTGTTGTTACATTTGTGTGTGTGGTTTTTGCTGTTGGTTTTGGTTTTTTTTATTAAACAAAAGTCCATTTGTTATTTACCTACAAATATTCCACCACTATGTGCACAGAACAGATTTTTCTAGTACACATGTCCAAAATTTTTTTAAAAAAAATCAATAACTTCTTGGAGGCAAAGTCAAACTATATCTAGAGAACATTAGAAAACCCCAGTTATTTAGAGAGGTACATGTTCAAGTCCAAGAGGCCTCACACAATCCACCTTTCCAAAGTCCCACAGAAGCCATCCTATGGCATGTGCCATCATAGCCTGCCAGCAGCAGCACCAATCCCAACAGTGAGGCTCAAGTGACCCACTAAAGTACAAGAATGCAAAGTGTACAGCACAAATCAAAGTCTTCCTCCTTGTTCAGACAAACACGGAGAGACATCTTAGTTATCAGCTTCCTGAAGTATTCAGAACATGATTCTGATCCAATGAGTTGGAAGGAAAATCACATTTATATACATCTCTCTTCACTCACAACTACTGTTCGCGGTTTCTGCAGGCTGGTACAGTCACCCTCAAGAACCACCTTGGTGTTCAAAGTGGGTTTTTTTGGTGGAGAATAGCCATAAAAGCCTTGACAGCATCCTAAGTCCTTGGCTTTCACTTCTCATGTGTTATTTAAACATACTCTGCCATTTTAGGTGTTCCAATACATGCACAAGGAAGAGTTGGGCAAAACCCAGTCCTGTGCACTTGTGTGCAGAGAGAAGGTACAAAGAGATCTTGGCTTCACAAGGATCAAGCTGTAAGCTGTGTTTCAAAGCAACAACAGAAGGTAGGTTATAAAGTTCTTAAAACATACTTTGTGGCTGTTTCTCCTTTTTTAATACTAGTTAAGTTGGTATCAGACAGCTTTGCTACAAGAAAGCAGACCAAAAGAACCATGAAAAGATCCAGAGCAAATCAGATGTAGTGCAAGCTATTATCCAGGACTAAATCCATTTCTGAGCCAGGTATATTCCAGATATTCAGAATGCTCTGCAATAAAGTTATAACAAATATATACTGCTTGCCAGGCATTTATTTGCATATTTTATTAAAATAATGTGTTATTACTTATACAACTCAGTATAAGAAAGAGACCTAACAGCTTACAGTGCTAGGAACTGCCTGCTTGTAGCACTCTCACTTCTGCCATTAATGCCCAGACATTTACAACTACATGAACTGATCTAATTTGAACACAAGACTTTTGACTGCTGAATGAATCTATGGAATTCACTATTTCTGAAATAAACAGTCCTCTCAACACAACGACCCATTTGAAATGGCATCTATTCCCTCAGCATGTGGAGGGCAACTATAGGCACTGAAGAACTCATTGGCTTAAAACTGTACAATTGTTCAACCCAATAAAGGTGGATTAAAGCTTGAAGCCCTTTGTAATTCAAACTTGAACATTAAACTACCATATACTGGGTCCAAATTCTTTCAAAATCAATACACATCAAGGAACACTGAGTTTTAAATTTCTGCAAGGCTTCATTTTCCAGGAAATGAGCAGTTACAGATTTCAAGGGTTGGGGAGAGGAGTTCTATTTTGTTTCTTTTGTATTGATTCATTGGGCAAAATATTTACCATAGGGTTAGGAAATACTACTTTTGCACTCTTTGGACAGAATTAAGCATTTGGAAAAACAGAAGGGTTGTTGTTCTCACTCTGAGGAATGTGCTTCATTTAGAAGTTCTCTACAGGAGAGTTTGACAAGATTCTCAGGCCTATCTGCATTTATGGTGAGAGTGAGAGACATTTCTGCAATTACAGACTCTCCCAGAAGATAAAAGACATACTATGCTGGAGGTCTATTGTAACAGTAGAAAACTCAGCTTTAATATTAATAATTATTAGAAGTAATTTTACAGGAGAGCTTTTCATTGCATTTTGCCACAAAACTTCTGGAGGAAAAGTTCTTCCCCCTTCTATCTACTTAATTGTAACTACTGGGTTTTTTAATGCTATCACTCTTTATCAGACAGTGAAAAATGCAAGATAAGGCATTTTCATAGCCAATTTCAGTTCTGGAGGAAGATTCTTAAGTACAAAATATGTTCCACAAGTCTGTACACATCTGACCCATTGTGAACAGAAATACTTCATAAATTAGTTGATTTCAAAGATTTTCCTTTCAAAAAGAGTCTGGATTTCTTAATTTTTTACCTTGAAATTACTACAGAAGAAGAAGATTACTGCAGCATCAAAGAAACAACTATCTAAAAGTTTACATGTATTTACACATTTAAAAATAATTATTTTTATATGGTTTACAACTAGGTTCTTATTTCAAAAAAGAAGCACAAGCTATTCTCTACAGCTGGATAATTTCAAAATAGTTGCCAGTTCACGAGTGTCAGCATGATTGCAAGGTTTGAGTCTTTTGACCTAATGGACTTCAGAAAGAAGAGCTGGCTCTCTTGCCTCCACTGCAGTTACCAGGAGGCTCTGAGTGCTGCTGGGTGCTGTGCCTGGGGCACTGACAGACCCTGGCTGCCCAGGCTGCTCTGCCTGAGCCCCGTGGGAGGTGCCACCTGCAGAGCAGGCACCTGTGCAGGTGAGCTGCTGGCACCTGATGGAGCTGCACGAGCTCTTCTGGAACTCATTTCCTCATCTCCATCACAGGCCTGCAGCCTTGCAGCTGCTGCCTCTTTTTACTCAGCCCTGTAATACTGACATACCAATGGAGCAATTTATTATTTTTACTATGTCTGTGTAATGTGTCTTGTTGATTCACAGCATTTCAAACTCACATTATAAAGTTTGCAAATTACTATGAGTTATTCTAATGTGAAAAAGCTGTCTGATTTCACACAATGTTTGCCTTATGATAATGCAAGCATTGCTCTATCAGAGTATTTATTAGAGCACATAAAAATTTTATTGCTCAACTTGATTTCATGTTGTGTCTTGGTTACAGCAGCCACAGAATTTATGAATAAAATAAATAACTTTGACATTCTCAGTCAATTCCTAAGGTAATCCACTGATGATAAAGGTTGTACAGCAATCATGTAACCTTCTCCTTGATTTTGAACATGGTAATCCAGCTTGCACCTCTGAGTCAACCTCAATAAAAATAGTTTTCTGCTGAGCAGTTAAAAAAAAATAAATCAGGAAACAAACATGACTTCACACTGCAGTGACTGTTATAAACAAGAATCTCTAAAGCATTGCAGTTCAAAATAATATTGTATTATACAGGGAATAAACAGTTGCCCTGTTCAGGAATACATCATGGAAAGATTGAAATTCAGTCTTTTCGTTTTTTTACCAGTATTTGGTTGTTCTCACATCTTGTTGCTTTGGTGGTTCTACATAAACTGTATCTGTGAAACAAAGATTATGTATTAATGCCACTTACATAACAAATGCTTTCCCAGTGTTTTAGAATAAAGAATCTATTTGGCTGCTTTGTTACTTTTAAATTAAGACTATAGGATTTGGCACTTGAAAACTCCCAAAGAATATTAAGACCTGTGTATTTGGATGACAAGAGTACAGTTTCTCCAGCTTGAATGATCTCTTGTCCATGCTTTTTTCCCTCCCACATCACCTGATCCTTGAAACAGCTTCCAACACTGGTCTGGTCAGCATGACTACACCAAGTATCCAACTAATGTCATAGGGAGACTAAAACCTGCATGCCTTCACCACTCCTTCACTTAATATTGAAACAGTGAGAAGTAAAAATCACATTTTTACTTTCTTCCTTGCTTCCTACAATTCCATCATCTGAATTTTCCTCCTCACCAGCAAAAGTTGCTGCCCTTGACTGAGGAACCCCTCACTTTCACATGCAGAAATACACCTGCAGCCTTTCATGAGGCATTTGGTTGTGTTTGTCAAGACTGAAGTTTCAATGAAAACAAGATTAAAGAGCACTGCTCACCTGAGTTTCAGAAACAGGTGCAAAAGGGTTTGTTGGCCTTAGACCAGGCTGTGTGTACATCATTGACTGGGGTGCCATCAAAGGAGCAGCTCCAACCTGAGGAGGTACCTGTGAGAAAAACAAAAACCCACAAAAACAAATATATAAAATTCAAACTACTTCCACAAGATACATCTTTTTGCATTTGAAGTATAGTAGAAAAGAAACATATGAACACACAGACAGAATAAAGTCAAAGCTTTTTAAAAACCACTGCTATATCAGCCTCAGAGTCATCTCCTTCAATGCAGTTGACAAACATACCATATCTCACACACTACTGCCAACACATTTAATTGCAGGATGGTTTGAACATCATAATTTTTACATGAAACCCACTGGTGGAGACAACTCAGTTTTCATGAATACTAAACAAATCAAGCTTCTTACCATTCCATATACAGGCACTTGAGGTGTGGTCAATGGGTATGTGATAGGAGCAGGTACCTTTAAACAAGAAAATTTTAAATTTTAGAGAAACTCATGCATACTTAATAATAGATATACAGAACTTTGAAAACCACATATTTTTCAGTACTAAAAATAACCAATGTAGTTACAAGAAATTGACTTACATATGCAGGATAGTGTACTCCATTCTGGCATAGCAAAAGGATAAGATAGAAAATTATTTAATAGGTATTCATGGTGGAAATTCTAACTAAGGGATGGATTAAAGTCCAGTACCATAACAGTTTTTAACTATGCTCATTTATTAAAACCATTAAAGTGTGAGGAAAAAAAAAAAGTTCAAGGACAGTTACGTAAGTTAATAAGCTTAGAAAGTTACCACTAGTAAAACTTAGAGCAAAATTAGAAATTTTACTACACCTAGCCAGGTTTGAGCACATTGCTTGCACAAGCATGTGTGTGTGAGAAGCTTTTAGAGGGCATGACATGCAAGGCTCCTTCTTCCTCCCGTTATTAGAGGAGGGCATAGAAAAAAAAGCCAAGAAAGCCAGTGACCTTTTGGCTTCGGAATGAATAGCAACAGATGTTTAGCCAGGTTGATGTTGCCCACATACTAACATCTGATGTCAGCACATACCACAATATGCCAAAAGAAAAATGAAGAGCATTTTAAGCCTTCTATCAGGTTATGTTCACAGGTATGGCAAAGCATGTCCTTCCTAAGGCCATGCTTTGTTAAGCTGTGCTAATTACACTGAATCCCAAGATGGAACACTTGGCTATGGGACAGGATGCAGGGTACATGAATTGGAGGGTTAGCTCTGAGGGCCAGAGGCCAGCCAGGACACGGAGACCTCTGCAGTTCTGGGGCACACATTTTAAAGAGGCTCACAGCTGAGCTAGATCTTCACATCAGTACTTGTTGGGAGTTACAGGGAAATGCATGACCAGACACCTGGCATAAAAACAGTCAAATGCTTCGACCTGATGAACACATGAAATAAAAGCATAACTTGAAATCCACAGTGATCAATGGGTACTAAGGTACCCTCTATGTTCCAGAAATGAAAATGCATCAGCATTCTAACAACACATTGTAGAGCACCTAGAGGAGGTAAAGAGGTGGTATGGTCTCAAAAAACCTCACATGAAAGTGCAGTACAACTGTGCCCTCTCATCAAATTTTTTAGTCTGATTTTTGAGTTCAATACTAGATTTAATACTGTATTCAACTTCTCTAATTCTGAGTAAGCATAGTCATAAGACAAGGAAAAGAGGCATTAGAGGCAAAACTATGCTTATTGCAAAATTAAGTCAGACAGCAGTCCAAAATTCACAGCAAATGTGGTAATTATCCCAGTTGTCTATGTAACTGAGATGAACATCTACTTCCCTCTAAGAGCTATATTTTAGAAGTGATTCATATTTCTATGAATATATTATGAATACAACACAGTTGAAAAATCTCTTTTAAAATCATAGAAAAGTCAGTTGCCTACAAATACCCCTCCTAGAAATGAAAAGTCTTCATTTAAATAACTATAAAAGACACACATAACTTTTTGTACTGTGTTAAAAACATGAAGTTGCTGTTGAGCATTATCACAAGTCCAAAGTGTCTTGCAAGGGTGTTTCATGATACAACTGAAAAAGGAGCAAAGACTGGAAGGAACAGCAGTTTTGCCCTTAAAACAAATTCTTTGGATTCTTAAAGGTGAATTTTTGTGTGCACATGTGCGTGTCAGGGGGAGTGGGAGCATCTCAAACATGCACATCAGGAATTTTCTGGACTGGGATAATTTGTTTCAATCCCAAAAGAATTTATGAACTGAGACAGGTAATCCACCTTTCACTTGAGATGTAAGCCCTTAATGGACAAGTTTTCCAGTGAGGGGAAATAAAGCATGCTAAAATCTCTACCTTATTCAGTAAGATCCTATGATCCTGTAAGCAATCCCTGCTACCCCCAGTCTTGTATCAAATGTTTGCTGTGTTTTATAAATTAACACAAGCAGAGAAGCAGCATTTGCTAGGATGAAGTGTGATGTCACAGTACAGAAATTACCATGTGTGGAATAGTGGGTAAGGGAGTCGGGGTCCACGTGGTTGATGTGCTTGTTTTTGCTTGCCAGTTTGTTCCACCAGTAAGTTTTTTCTCTGTAGGCTGAGACCACTGCATATCTGATCTAAAATGAAGCAATGGTGTTAGTTTTCATGGAGAGGCAACAGCTAGAGTAAAACATCACAGGAAACCCAAACATCCCTTAATGCGTGCACACAGCTGAAATCTATGAACAAACACTCAATCTCTTCTCCAGTAAGGGTGAAATCTGGGGCTTCTGTTTGTGTTAGAAGTGAACTATCAGTACTGCACTGTGCATTTAGTGATTAACTGGAGTTTGATGTAACTTTTATAGTGTTTCATAAAAATAAAAATACTTCAATAAAAATGCAGCAATTGCAAAACTAATTAAAGTGAGTTACTTTAAAAGTTAAGGTTGGCTGTGTTATGGTGACTGACACTGTTCCAATGCACTTCTCAGTTATTCTGGGTTGTTTCAAGAGATGAGATGCTGGTCATGTGTTAGTGCCAGAGCCTTGCAAATAGTCACATGTGAATATTCTAAGTACATATATGCACTTACTTTTTGGATGGAGTTCCTCCAAAGCCAAGATCTGTGTGGGAAAAGAAGCAGACAAAATCCTTAAGCATTTTAATTTGGGAGGGAAAAAAAAGCTTATTTTGCTTTTAGTAAAAAATGGGAAAGTAAATTTTAAAAGCTTTACACTTACTTCCTACTAGATTTGCAAGTGAAGAATCAAGGTCATTTGCTAAAATTTTTCCACTTTGCTGGCTGGCTACAGTGGCTCTTTGACTTTGTGGTGGTACTGTGGGTTGCAATACATCATCTAGAAAGTTAAAACCTAAACAAAGAAAATAAAAGCAACTGTTAACAAAATGGTCACCTTACATTTAATAAATGACATCTACAGGCCAGGGAGGTATTTTCTTTATAGAGCACTAATTTGAGTATTTATATGTGAAGGTTCAACATGATGGAAGTATTTTAAGACTTTAACAGAAGCATAGTTTAACTTCTTATTTTTCATGGAATACTGTATTATATCTACTAATCTAAAAGAATCTTTAATTGTACTTTAACAATATTTTGCTATACAGAAGACTCTAACTCAGGTATTCTTCAAGAAACACACACAACCAGTCGAGCACTTCTGCAAGAGCTGTGCCTCTGAATGGAATCAGAGGGAAGTCATCACCATGCACCAAGAGAAAGCACAGAAGACAAATGAACACGAGCTTACCCATTAGGAGAATCCAGTGGGCCACGTTCAAAGAGTCCCCCAGAGAGAGAGGAAACAGTTATTACACAGAGAATGAAATCAGTCAAAGCTAATTTTAAAGTAAATAACTAACAACTGAAGTGATTTCCTCTTATCAGCCCATAATCATCTTGAAAATATATTAAGTTATTAAATTTCCAACTGCAATAGTAATTATGCTAAATTGTTAATCAATTTTTGCCTGTAGGCTATAAATTAGTTACAAGGCAGTTTTTACCACTTGCAGTCTTGTACTCTGGTGCTGTAGATTTTCCTCCAAAAACAGCATCAAAGTCCACATTAATTGTTGAAGAGGTGGTACTCGGAGAAGCTGAGTGAAGAGGGAAACCTGAAAAAAAGAGTTGAGTAATGAAATACATCCATGAAGTATACATCACTCATTCTAGTGAAACCAGAAACTTTTAAAAAACAAAAAGAAAAAAAAAATCAAATTACCATCGACAGTCACAGGATGATACACAGAAGCATAAGTTGGTTTATGACCACTAAAGTCATCTTTGCAAAAAGAGAGAAGAAAATAAGATCAGTTTTAAAGAGGAAAAAGGAAAAGGGAACCCAACAATTAAGTCTGCAGTTAAAAGTTAGGAAATTTTACTAATATAAAAAGTTTTTTTAAAAATTATTGTACAGATTTGAAAAGCCAAGTAACTCCTGCATTCCCCATTACAAAAGAGAAAGGAAGCTATAGTTTGAAAGAAATCAGCTGCAGGACTTGGGATATCTAGACTGGGCAAGCAGAACAAAATAGTTTATTTCAACTACAGAAATAAACGTTTAAGAAAACTATAATTTACTACACCTGGAATTAATGCACCATTTTCACTTGTTAATAAAAAGTGAAGATTGGCCCATATCACAAAAAGATTACATGGCCCACATTATCAGCATTATCACCTCCAGCTGCAAATAAATTCCATGGGGTTTGGGTTTTTTACCACTAAACAGTTCCACTGTTTGTTTGGAGGAAAAAGAAGAATTGATGAAAGGGGTGGCAGATTTTACAGCTTCTTCAACTGGCTTCATGTCAAAGATGTCCAGATGGGGTGGAGAACCAACACAACCATTTGAAGACGAGAAAGGACCTTTCAGATGCAGAAGTGAAGGAAAGAATACAGAGTACAAATAATGGAAAAGAAAAACAGACTGAAATGATTGAATATGAGAATCTCTAGACAAAGTCAAATTGTAAACATTCTACCTAATGATCAAAGTTAGATACAAATTTTAGATAGATATTATCTAAATACAAATTTTAGATACAAATTTTTAATTTCAGATAAAAATCCTAACAGTTCTCTGTTTAGTGAAAATAATTTTAGTATTGACATAAGGTGGGAGGGGAAGAATGACAGAACATATATCAAAGAAGTTAGATACTACATTTTTGGCTTCAATAATCTACCTTTTAAATAGCATATAAGAGTATCAATTTCACCTATTAAAACACTAACATTTACCACAGTGTTATCACTGCCTTCTTTTGGCATTTAAGCCATTTCTCTGACATCTAACCTGACCATTCTTTGGAAGGATGGGTGAAGAAACTGGGGTCCACAGCTTTTTTACAAGAACTCTGAAATTACCAACACCTTTTAAATGAGAAGTGTATTAAATATTACTTAATTAACTGGAAATACTAGTCCAGGATCTTCTCAGTTACACCTGCTTAGGTTTTATTTCCCAGTGTTTTTCAACTTAGACCTTGAGTTACATTTCTTCTCCCTGTCCCCTTTATTGAACAGTTCTGCTCCTTTGTTCCACCAACACTAATGCTGTGTGTTCAAGGAAGTTGGTCAGAATTATCAGATATTTACTTCATATTTTGTTATGAATGTTTGGATGCAAAACAGTTAAGGTTTACAATGCAGATTCAATTAAGTATGGATCTTGCATTCTAAGAATTCCCTTATCACTTAGACAGTCAAATCAGGGTATGAGCTCACCTCCCCAAGCATTGCTTGCTGATGTTGATATAGCTGGAGTACTCTGCACAGTTGGAACAAATGCAGGCTGAAGATCAAAAAGATCACTAGAAAGGTTGGGCATGCTGAATAAGAAATGAGAGAGAGAGAGAAAAAAATGTAAAGCTATGTAACAGGCATTGTATTCTTACGTTTATGAACACTTGTACCAATATAATTTTCTCTTATTTGCTAGCAGCCCATCAACAACAGTGATACAACAAACTGGTAATTAAGCACTTACTGACAAAATTCCTGTGGGCACACCAAGAAAACACCAGCAAAAGTAACCCGAGAGGTAACTGATCACGGTTTTGCAGTTGATTGTGAAGCTACAGATCAGTGCAGTAATTTCTGTTTCTTTTGGAAAGCAAAATATCTCTCACCTATTTGTTGTGGGTGCTGGTGCAGCAAAGAGGTCAACAGCTACAGTGGTATTCACACTTTTTCCTGATAAAGTGCTTGGGGATGCTGATGTGGAAGTGGAATTTGATACTACAGAGATTTCTCTTAATCGCTGCTCCTGAAAGGTAAGAGAGACAGTTGTCATTTTAGTCTTATTGATTTATTAACATTTCAATCCTGGAGAGCTTTTCAAAGAAGAAAATTTTAATTATGGTCTTAATAAATAAAACACTTTCTTCTGTAAAGTCCTAAAACCAGAAAAATAACTGAAATTAGAGATAAGAGTATTTGTTTTAACAAAGCATGTAAAAATCAAGGTGAGACTTGATGTTTTAAATAATTATTCTTTAATCCATATCTGCCTAGAAGTAAATCACTTCTAGTCAAGCTACACATTCCAGGCTCTCTCCACAGCCACTCAGAGAAACAGCTCAATGGACCTTTGTTCAGGAAGACTCATCTCCCTCCTTTATGAGTCACTTCATAGTTCAATTCAGATGTTCAGAAATCAGTATGACAACGTGCAATCCAATAACTATTTTACCCAACACTATTTTATCCAGTTACAAAAAAATACTTCAATACAAAACTTGATAAAAACATCCTACCTTAAGTGCCTGCAGTCTAACTTGCTCCTCCTCCAATGCCTGCTGCTTTTCTTTCTCATCCATCCGGCTGAATGACATTCCTGTATTGGCAAGTGTGGAAACAGCACTGGATAGGGCACTGGCTCTAAAAAGAGCAATAATTTAAAAAATATTATTAAAAAACCCACGGTCAGGTATACCTCACAGTTTTATCATGAAGTGCTTTATCTAGTCGTGTGTCACCCTCTTTCCCAGTCACTTCTTCCCTTACTCTCTGGTACATCAGACCCCAAAAACAGTTTGGTGACAAAGAAGCACAAGTGCACAGAGTGACTCCCTTGAGTTCCAGCACGTAGGAACTGCAAAATGTGGAACATAGCAGTTGCCTTTCCTCTTTAAAGTTATCTAGACTAGACTGGAATGTTATTCAAATGTCAGAAGCATAGAAAGCTTGTTTGTACACTATGTAACAACAAAGAAAGCACGGCATCATACATATGAACAGAATATTGTGGCAGTGAATCTTTATTTTCTTGAAAAAAACAGTCTGAGGAGAAAGACAAATTGGGAACATACCTCAGCCTGATACGTTTATCAATATTTACCAATTTTCTGTGCGAGAATATCTATGCCAAAAGAGATCTTTCATTATTCAGTTGGAAATATTTTCATACATATTGATACTGTACTTGACAGAAAAAGTAACACAATTTCTTTTAGCACAACATGTCTAAGCTAATTTGGCTTTTCTGAGGAGGGGCTGAAGAACTTTTAGGAGAAGGTTAAGATAAATTCATGGTCTGAGAGGTAGGCCATAAATATATAAATAATAACAATTCAGATAAATACCATCCTATCTTGCGTAAGAAAATTAAAATTCAAACACCTTATAAATGTTACAAGTCAAAGGACTTTAAAAAAGTAGAAGATAAAATTAATAATATGCAAAGTCTCAGCTCAGTGGTTTATTACAACATAATCAAAATTCTGAGACACAGGCAGACATACCTACATTTCCAATGTGGCTAAGCTATCACACCATTACTCACCAGATGTTTCATTTCTATTTCTAGGAAGATACATTCAGAAGTGAATAAAAATAAAGAACAGCACATGACTAAATCCTGAAAATTGTTAGAATGACAATGGCAAATCTTAAGTACAGGCACTGCTGTAATTCATTGGGTGCTCACCTGCTGGCAGCAGAGACTTCCTTTGTTTTCTTTCCCTCCACAGAAGCCAGATGCTGTTCCAGTGCCTCAAGCAAGCTGCTGGGTGCCTAAAATTAAAAGTATTTATAAAACACTGCTTTTATCAACACATCATTGTTTAGTACACAGATTGGTTTTCTCACCAACTAAAAACAAACAAAATCTCACACATCAGAAATGGTGCCTTTGGGTTTTGCTGCCATCCTACACACCCAAATTCCATCTACTCAGTGGTGGTTCCTTAAAAGGAGTGGGACCACAGAGGCAGGAGGGAAGGATTCCCCAGAATGGCTTTGCTGCTGTGCATGCAAGTCAGATTCTTGGTTTTGGCAACAGTATTTGCTATGTTAGAATTAACTGAATAACCAAAGCTGATGAAGCACTACTTCCTTAAACTCACAGAAGTCCCCAGAAAAAGACCTGGCATTTTTTATATACTTTCCCAAGTAACAACAAAAACCCAATCACTCTCTACTCAAATATTTACAGTCAGAGGCTTTCAGTAGAAACACCTGCAAGGTTTGACAAAAAAGGGAATCAAATCCAATCTGATCCCAAGGACACTACTGCAGACTGAGTAGCTATTCAGCATGTAACTGTACAATAAACCAACTCAATTACCGAAGTGAAATAAATCCTACTGCAGATTTAGATGAAGGGAATGCAACTCTAAAATGTAAATCTATTTACCAGCTCAGTCCTCCTCACTTGGCAGGGTTTCAGAGACATTAAGCCTCTCTTACCACTTGCCAACTTTCAGGAGGTAGAACAGATATAACAGGCATTGTTTGGAGGAAAAATAAACTTGCCCTTGCCAGGCCTTCTGTACCAAAAGCTAGAACAAGGCATTTCCTGGAAAGAGGAAAATATTATTCACACAAGCCTTTGGCAGGCAAGCTCCCCTTTGAAGCACTGAGCACAATTCTTCCTTCCCACTTTCACTGAAGGCAAATTCAAGCTAGATTAATTAAGAGATGCAAAAAAAAAAAAAAAAAAAAAGGCAATCAGAATAATCCTATAAAACTGCTTGTCTTAAAATGAAGACCTGAGCTTATATTTCTTAAGTAGAGCAAGGTAAGCTAAGACAGTGTAGTTACCTCACCACAGGTCAGGAATAAATTCAGCGTTCGACCCAGACAGCTAAAACCCAAGGGGGGCATTTTGAAATAACCTTTTGGAAAGGTATCAGGGACAAAAAAACCCAAAGCAGACAAAAAAACAACATGCAAAAAATCAAAACAAACAAAAAACCCCAATCAAACCAAACCTCCCCATACTTTTACCTAGCAGAAGGCACAATAGCTTGCAAAAGGCATTGCATGGCACAGCTACTTAGATAATCTTAGTAAGAGCAGACTATGCCCTAATTCCAGAAAGATTTTCCTCATATTTTTTTCCTCCCAAATCCACTCACTCTTATTTGTATGGAAATGCATATTCTGTACTTACTTTTTTTAAAACCCTGTGAACAACCCCCTCAACCACAAGAACTAAACCAAACAATCCAGTAACCTCCTCTGAACTCTCTCACTACTGCAAATATCCAACAAAACATCAGACTTGGAGTGAACAGGTAGGGTAGTTTTATGTCAGAAATTATACCTGGGCTAATCCAGCCACTGACTTTAGAAAGGCTGTATTTCATGATTCACCTCCATCCCCCACCCCCCAAAACACATGACAGACTAACATCCATACACAGGGAAACAACCCTGTTACATTCATGGCATACAAGAACAGCTATTAACAGAAAGCAGCATCACTGTGAAACAGGGCACCTACAAAGGAAAATATTTTCTTCTCAGAAACAGGCAAGAGTGGCAGTATTAAGAAATTACAGCAAATTCTTTTGAAGTGGCACTAAATGGATGTACAATTATTCAACTCGTATTAAATGCCATGAAATTTTCTGCCAAAGTGGAATGTTTAACAGTGGCACTGAAATTGCCAAAATGCACAGGATGCTGAGGTCTACCACCAGCTCAGAATTGCTCTTCTCATGTAAGTGCACTTACAACAAAACAGCTGAGCTATTAGAAATAAAATGTTGTGGGCACAGTAGATATTAAGTATTTTCTCACTGAAAGTTTCAGATAAAAAAAGCAGCAAAATGAAGTTAAATACCCCTATTCCCAGTAAATAAAAAAACCCGCTTGCTTTCAAGAGCCTTTTAATGACCCAATTAAGTGGACAAGTACACACTAACCCAGTGAGGTATAAATAACTTCAGACTTCAGTATAATGTGATTAGCATAATACAGCCCAGCTGAATACTGCAGTACTAATCAAAAGACAAAGTATGACGCTGAGATCAAACACCAACAGAAAACTTCAAACTACTGTTTTCAATCATTACCTGCTCTTACCCTGATGGTTTCAGTCATATTTCCTTTATACCATATAGGCAAGTTCTTAAAGTGATTAATATTAAATGCTAGGAGCAAGCATTAGAGATTTGTGCTTTGAAGCATGCATGATTTCAGATGGAAATCATACTGTAGGCAGTAATGAACACCACTGACAATGGAAGTTTGTGGCTTAGGTGTGATTTCCATATTAAAAAGACACTGATTAAGGTTAGGCAAATCTTCACACTAGATATATTTTTCATGATTAGCCCATGAAATTTAATTTCAAGAAGGTAGTGTAGGATTAGATGTGACTGTTCAAACATTACACAGTAGATTGTTAGTTTGTCACTGACTGCACTCCAACAGCTCCAGTACTCGAGCTCTAAGGCACTGCAGTTTGTGCCCAAGTCTCCTCAGGCTGTTTATTGCACCCTGCAGGCTACTCTGTGCTACAGAAATAATGACAGCACTCTGCTCTGTTGGGGTGGCCCTAGGTGAGAAATAAAACATCCCTATAAAATGAAGGGACTCACAAAGAATAACTTTGTTGACCTCTGTGGACTAACAGTGTTTCCTGTTCACCAAAGCATTTTCTCACCTCCCTTCTGCCCCTCAGTTTCTCCTCACTGGAAGGTGTTTCCCTGCATTCCACCTTTCAGACTGAGTTATCCAGCACACAACCTACACTGCACATGTCCCTCATACCACTGAGTAAAACCAAAGCCAGCATTAAGAGCTGATATAGAAACATCAAATGTATTCTTCAGACTTAAGGGAACAGAAAAAAATTTCAATTGAACCAGCTCACTGTCATCTTTAAGCGTGTTGGAAAACATTAGGTTAGCGTGAAATAGAAGGCTTTCCTCTAGGTATGGCAAGATACTTCTGCTTACTTACCAGGGAATCCCCTGTGATAAAAATCAGAAGTTCTTGAAAAATATTATTTTCTGTGGGTTTTATTACTTTAAACAATCAAAAAATCTCATTAAGAACTGCAAAGTGTAAGCATTTAATGCATGTGAAAAGCTACTATACGTATTTCCCACATATAAATACGTGAAAGGGAATACAGTCTCAAGAAGAAAGATTACTATGCTACACACTAACCTTTAAAAACACAATTAACAAAATAATTGGGTTAATCAATATGCAATGTACACTGACCTGAGTAAGATCTGGAATGTCACCCTGATCAATTCCAACTTGCTGGGTTTACAAAAAAAAGAAGGAGAAAATGTACATTACTACATGCAGTGCCAATGAAAATAAAAACCACCAGTGTCTGAGTGTTACACAGAAGCTAGCATATTAAAAAGGGATATTCATAATTTTCTGAACTGCTACAACTTTCACTAGGAACACACCTTAGAAATCAAAAATGCATGAAAGTGCATCTCAGGGCAAACCCAGCTTTTCATCCAGCCTAACTTTCATGCCGAAAAGCCTGCTAGAAGCATTAGAAACAGCCACATTGCTTACTGAAACTAGTTATCAATTTTTAAGTACTTACAGTAAAGGAGAGCCCAATAAAAATCTTTAAATAGACTGTAATAATCAGTTTATACATTCTGGAGCATTCATAAAATTTATAATGATACTTCAGAAAGTTTACTATGTGGTCTGACTAATAAAAAGGATACCCAGGAATCCCACACCATGTTAACAGGCATATACAATCTTTAAAATAACTAATCTCTAGAAAACTTCCTTGTATAGTGAAGTTCAGCAAACAATCTGTTTAAAGGTGTTTCTATGAATATTGATAGTGTACCAATACAGAGAGCTAAATTATATCCTTCCCATGCACATAGATTTATTTACCTCTGCTACTTTGAGGAACTCTGACAATTTGGTCATTCTGGCTAGAAATTTTTTGTAAATATCCAAGCCTTCTTTGCACTGGTTCTTCTTCATGTCAAAATATCTTTCTGAGGATGCAAATAAAACTCTTGTAAGATAATACCCTCCCCAGCAAAAAGCTGACACAGTATTATAGAAGTTAATTGACACAAGCTTCATTAAGAGGACAGCAGTAACTCAAAGCTATTCAAGCTTATAGGAATACCTGAATCCTTTTATAATAAGTCAGTCAATACAAAACCACTGATTTTTCTGTTTCAGTGTGTTAGACTATAATGCAAAAATGTATTAAACATGGATGTGAATCAGTGCAAATCATTAAATTAGGTGTTATGGGGAATATTTTTAAAAAGCTGGCAATGAGACAAATTATTTTATCATTTGAAGATATTCCTGGAATTTATTTACCTTTTTAGACCCTGTATCAATACATTTTGATACTGAAGTGGCTATGCATATTGAACTGACATACCAAAAGGAGGATCAACCACATCTTTCACTTTTTATGGTTCTGCCCTATATACTTACAAATATGGCACTGAGTAAAAATTAATGGATTAACAGAACAAACTGATGGCTTCATTCATAAATTTGCTTAAATAGTAATGAAAAGGCTTTGCTAAGAGGTTATCACCCTTTAAAAAAAAACCCCTATATTTCATCTTATCAGCTCAGTCAGATTCGGGTACCAGTCAAAGGCAACCAGTCAAGTTTTAAAGAAAGAACAGGAAAACAGAATTCAGCCATACTGTGAGTATATTAAATACTCAAAACACCACATATCTCACCAAACCTTTACAGTCCAATTGCAAAGGTTATCCATTGCCTTTCATGGTATTTTTGTTTCAGTCTCACCAATCACCCTCTCATTGCACTTTCTGTTTCAACGTGTATTCTTCCAGGTAGAAGTGGATGTGTAAGCCTATGCTCCTGGTCACTAAAACTAAGACAGGCTTCATTTAACAGCAACAGAGCAGAGAAAATTTATTAAGAAACTGAAGTCATAAATTGTCTATGTTCTTTAGTTTTCTCAATATCTTTCACATAATTCAAAAGCTAAAAAAATTCTCACATACCTAAAAGATTAATAATCCCCTCATTGTATGCTGCAAAAAGTCTAATGGAATCTTTAAAGAGGAGCATAAAGGCAGCATTTATAACACCATTTGTTAGTTCATTTGGATTTGCCTGTGTAAAAAGCAATGAGAAAGTAAATTAGTATTTAACGAAATAATGAAATGCTCACTTCAAAGTGAAAGAATGTTACTTAACACTGAGCTTAAATTACTTACATCAAAATCAAGGAGTGCATCAAGCTGGTTCTGTATGATTGGAAGGGTTTTCAGAAGCTTTTCAGGATTCATAGTTCTCATCACTCCATCTATCCTACAGAGTAAAAGACACATTTACAAGATACAGATATTTCAGCACACATTGTATTGTTTGAACAATGCAACATTGCTTCAAAGGGCCAAAAGAGACCATTCTATGACAAGCTCAGGAACAACGGTGTTCCTCCTTGTCCCACCCCCTGCACAGGAAGGGTCAAACACAAGTAGCAGAGTAGTCTTACCCTCTTTTCATTTTGGTGAAGTCAACTGCTACAAGTCTATATGAAAGTGCTTTTTCATTCAAGTATCTGCTGTATCGCCTAATGAAGGTAGACATATCATAGCCTAAAAATTAAGCATTTGTAAGTTAGACATTTGAAAGGAAAACTGAAGTTTTTCAGTTCTTGAAAAGAACTGTTCTCCTACAATAGCCTATTTTATGTCAGTTTGCATATGAAGTCCTTCCTAGGCACTTTCCAGAATCTTGAGAGGTTCCATTAGTGTCTTCCCAAGTGGCTAAGATTAGGAAAGCATTTGGTGCAATTGTGAGACTAAACATCTAAACACATTAAAATATTAGACAAGAACCGAGCATAAAAGATTAGGCAAACATCAAACAGTTCTTGTTAAGATGTTCTTGAAATCAGAATAAAAATTAATTTCAAGCAAAATGCTGAAGAGTTTGGTAACTCATCTGCCACCTCCCAAAACCTACATAAAAACCTAAAAATGTTTTCTACCACTAGCAAGTAATTAAAGGACTTATCAGAGATTTGAAGAAGTTCTCCCTATTTATACAGCACATCTTAGTTACCATTCCATGCACCTTAACAGTAAGTATTTACTCTTGAGGCTTTAAAAATCAACAACAAAAATTATTATAGTGCTGATAATTCACCAGGTTTATTCTAATGAGCATCAAGAGGTCACTTTGTAAAATTTACAGCTGTGTGTGCAATGCTACATACATTACAGATTTCTAGTACTCACCTAGGTAACTAAGTCACTTTACCGGTGTCTGCATTCTTGGCTGGACATTCTTTGGTGTCTCACCCAATAAAAATTAAAACATTCTTCCATTTAAATGTCATTTAGCTCCTAGTGTGCACCAATGCATGCACCATCACAGAGAAAAAAGGAGTAGTTATCTCCTTCAGTGAAAGATCCTTACCCTGCATGGCACTTTTGTCCAGGTAGTTATTTAGGTTGAACAAAGTGTTCCGGGATGCGAGATACTGGATAAAGCGCTGTTGGTGAAGAAAAAATGGAGAATGTGATTGCTGTGAGAGTCAAAAGGTAGAAGCATTTTACAGGCAAGCTACACAATTTGTAACTGTTTCTAGTAACCTCTACCTATAACAGAAATTAGTTACAAGGGAAAAAATTAGAGGAAAACCTGAAAATACTCGTTAGCAAAGCCTCTGATGTCCAAAAGTCAATTTGGCAAAAATATAAACTTAAACTAAACATAGGGACATCACTGCTCATGAATAAAATACAAATAATTCCAGAAGAAGCTGCCTAGTCAACTTTGTACTTTAGAACAGACAAGCTGGAAAACACAAAACAAAAATACTACTTGCATAATCCAGGCTCCTGAAGTTTGACTAGCTCAGCTGCTGTGGTGTGAAGAGCACACTATGTTTTACAGGTCATTTCAACCGAGTTCAGAGCTTTGCAGAGAGGAGGAACACCAAGGTTTCACAGCAGTTTAATGGCTGGAAAGCACTTTGAAGAATTGTCACTTCAGTGTTACCAGTGGTGAACAATCAATCATTTCTTAGGTCAATGACCACACACAGGCTCAGGACTGTCACCTGACCAAAGGTTAGCTTTTAACATAAGGCTTGTGCAAGAGAGGCTACATTTCTAGCTCCATGTCATTGACTAGGAAGCTTTTAATAAATTGTGATGAAATAATTAAAGTGAATTAAATGCAGTAGAACAGTGCTTCAGAGGAATGTTAACAGCAACAACATATGAAGACTCAGCCCATTAGATGATGTCTTGCAAAATCAGATATCCTAGTCACCATATTCCTCTCCCCTTCAGAAAGTATTCTTTCTTATCTGTTATTAGGTCGGCTGCACACTTATGGAGTGCTAACAAGACTCTTGTCCTGTGCTCTTAATGATAAGCACTACCCTAATGAAGTAAAGCTCATCAGAAGTCTTTCAAGCCTTTATTCTAGAGAGGTCACAGACCAACCCAGATACCTGCAGGTAAACTGAAAACACTGATATATTTTGGTATTGAAATAATGAACGACTATTTTTTTTTCTTCTGGACAAATACTTTAGAGCTATCAGCAGAGGAAAAACAAAATCTTTGAAAAACTGAAATAAGCATCTAATGCTTTATAGATTGAGACAATTTTTTAAAAGCTGTCTAGTAGGCTTTAAGAGAACAAATCATGTCTTACCTCATTTCCATACATCATGAGGTGGTGTGTTGTAATTAGAGCTTTGAACACTACAACCCAGCTACTGTTTGCAGTTCTCTCAAAGAGTGTATCTGCCAACTGTGGAATATTCACATTCATTTCATTTGTGCACTGTATTAGATCTAAATTAAAGGAAAAAAAATCAAAGCATTACAATGAATTACGTGCTCAGAAGATCAACATGTTATTTAGTGGTTTTTACACTGAGAATGCATACTGGAAGCATTAACTTCAGTTCTTTGTTTAAGAAATAACTGAGATCATTTACTCTCCTTGCTGAGATTCACTACATTTTACTGAAACACTCCAAGAATGAACTTCAAAGGCATTTCAATAATTTTAAGGAGTCCCGATATCAATAAATAACCTGTTCCATTAAAATGGAGCCCAAATTAGTCTCTGAAAGCCAGTGCGAGCTGGCTGCATGTGTGACCTTCTGGATCCTCAATGCCCGAGGCCACTCCATCTAACCAAAAAAATGAAAATCTGACAAGCAATGAAAAGCTGAGACATCCCAACCTCATGAGATCAACAGGCAGCACAACCCTGCCACTCCCAGCTAGGCCTGAGTACTCACACATGATGGCAAATGAGATGCTACAAAATACACATCTTTTACACCTGTAAAATACACCTCTTTTCAGTAAGAATTAAAAGCAAGAATTTGCATCTATTCACCCTTCCACTTAGCTTTAAAACACCTGATCACAAGCCTACTGAGTATTTTGTGATGGAACAGGGTAGGTCTTGGGCTTTCATACAAAAAAGCTCTTTGTGTCCTAGACTGACAATAAACTCAATAGTAGAACATTAACTTGGGAGGTCAGAGACAGAGAGGTTCGGGATTTTGCCTGAGATTTAGAACAAAAGGACAGGCTCCAGCAGACACATGGGAAGACACTTGCCTGAGAAGGCTGAAGAAGGTACTTGCTGAGAAAAGAGCAGAGAACTGAATCCAGGACTACTCTAAACCCCTCAAGACACGCACATCAGACATTTCTTCTCTGTGCTAAATTTGGCTCAGGTGTGATCAAAGTACACCCTAAGGACTGGGCAAGGCCAGTAAAACAAACATTTGGTTTGAAAAGCTTCCTTTGTGGCCTCTGATTTAAGCTGAGCCTGCGAGCCCACAGGTACAGAGCCCATGGCTGCTTGTGCAGCCTGTCTGGAGGAGGAGCTGAAGGAGGGCAGTGCCCGGGCACCGGCAGCAGCCGAGTCCCGAGGTGCTGGCACCACTGACACTGCTCTGCCTCAGCAGCAGCGCCGAGACAGAGCACAGACTGTGTCATCACAGCACTTGAAATGGCAACTCAGAGCTCACACATTGATAATTCAGGACAAAATATTGCACAGAAATACTGCACTTAAAATTTACATCTTTCTAGGGCACAGAGTATATTACAGATGGACTTGAACTAAAGATTGGTTTATTAAGAAAAAGTCCTTTGATTAAGGAGTGTTGTTTAAAATAGTTTACTAACCAAAGTAATTTTAACAGAGTAAAGAATTTTAGTATCTCGTCAAGGTAAAAAACTATAAAATGCAAGGTATAATAAGTTACTAATTTCATTCAGATGTCAGATTTCCAACTACATACAAAACGGAAGCTGGGATGAAAACTTTCACTCTTATTGACAACAAACAAAAATGCTGAAATAGCTGAACAAGAAGAGCACCAGAAAGAAGCTTTAAGCAAGCTATACATCTAAACCTTATTGACGAGTAGTATTCAAATAGTTCAGTATTTACAAATGTGAACTTCTCAAAACCCAAGTAATTTGTTAGCTACTGCTCCCTACTCATAGTTATGTCACCATCAGATGCTCTGTCAAATTAAGAGGTACTTTAACCTAGAAGTCCAAACAGTCTATATGCAATTATTGCCCCATATAATGAAGCAACAGCCTCATCAACTGAATGAAACTCTTGTTGTGACACTTCTAAGTAGTTATCTCAAAACACACTAAGGCAACTAAGTCTTCCTAAATCAAATCATTATATAATCAGGTATTATAGAAATACATGGAAAATACTGAGCAGTATCTAAGAGCAGCAGCTGATGTGTCCATACTCTACACAGAAATGTTATAGTAGGACTATTGAAAGTCCTACTCTCTGTTTATAAAAAACAACCAACCAAAAACCCCAATCAACAAAAATCTCATTCTCTTTCCATAGCAATACCTATAAAACTAGGTAACAGTTAAAGAAATTCCATTGATCTGCTGAGGTCAAAGACCACACAGCTTATCGAAAATATTAATTCAGCACAAAGTCCTTTTGCTTCACAAACCAGCAAGCAAGTCAAATTTTTCACTGAAGACTTTTCAATATTAAATGTGCTTATTAAATAACAGATGAAACTAGAAGGAAGATCCAGGTTAAAAACCAAAATCTTGCTGCTCTCCAGTCAAGCTAGCTGAGGTAGTTTCATTTGTATTTTACCAGCGCTCCCCAGAGATTTCTGTCCTGTCACCTTCCCTCAAGCTAAGGCCTCCCAGCAGATGTTCCAGCAGACCCCAAGATAATGCCAACACTGGGAGATCCTTTGCACATTCCAATGTCTGTGACTGCTATTGAGAATTCTTACGGTGCTGCTTGGGCACAATGTGAAAGGAATCCTACTGTTAGCACCTGCATGAAGTGCTCTAACTGGAGAGCTCTCCTTTCCTTAAGCCCTACATCCATAAACCAAGTCTTGCTTTATGCCAGAATAAAGGTTTACTTCCACGAGAAGCCATACTCTTCTGTCAAGTGTCAGTAACAGAGTGAAGCTGACAGAGCTCTGCTGTATTTGAGAAGTTCTTTTGTTATTGTTTCATTCTCAAGTGCGAACACTTCTGTGTAAGGTACGTGTCTGTCCATTTCAAAAGGCAAACAAAATTAAATACTTCCCATAGGCAGGGCCACCAGGAGTCTAATTCAAGCTGTGGCTCAGTGAGCTGCCACCCCATGCACTCGAGACATGCTGAGGACAACACTCACTGGCTGCCCTGAAGACAATTTTTACAGGGGGTACTCAGCACAGCGTGGTCTTTGACTCCAAACCTCCTTCAACACTGAAGCACAAAAGTCACAGTTACCAACACTGGAGAACACATGCTTAGACAAACAAAATGCCTCTGAAATGCTAAACTAAGCAAAACATGTCAGTGCATTTTATAGGTCAAAACTGAACTTTCTTAAGAGCATGTTGTACAAGACCAAGTTTAAAAATAAGGCTACTTGGGGTAATTAAAAAGATATACTATTTTACAACTAGCAATAAAAATAAAGCTGGCATTATATTTTAATCCCACAATTGAGATACATAAAAAGAAATGCAAGTGCCATTTCTCTAACATGATTCTTCTAAGCCTGCAATGGGAATATCTACATAGAGACAACTGCAGGGATCTATTTCAGCTGGTGGCACAGAAGGAAGAGGCTGTTATCCCCATACAGCTGGAAGTACAAAGGAACACATGCACCTGAGAGACTGACAGCTGGGCAACAGTAACATGGATGTTGGCAGCAAAAACTGGAATGAAATGCACAGGGTGAGTGATGCTCATTTTCTTATCGCAGTACTTATATAAACACTTCACAACTCAAAGCATTTTGCCAATTACCCAGAGGAATCATTTCAACTACAAGTGAAACTGCAGCACTATTTCTAGAATGGAATTTAGAAACACGTTAACATCACACAGGGAAAAAAAAGAAAAAAGAAAATAAATAAATAAATCTAACAGCTTTAAACCAGAAGAGTACCACCGGGGCTTTCAAGCAGCCTGAAGAGCTGTGAGAATCTTAGTGCCTAGAGGAGTGCTTAGTACTTCTTTTCCACAACTCATCTGAAATACTGGCACCTCATCTATGAAGCTACACAGCCCTTCAGAGGACAGCATGTATAAATCCAGATATTAAAAACAAAATAAAAAAATATATATCAGGTTTTTGGAAAAGTCTCAGCCAGGCACTGACAAAAACTGACATAATTTTTAACTTTTAAGTAATAGGAAAAGGCATAATTTTCTTGAGTCAGGAATCTCTCTCAAGAGAGCTGTAAATACATAAGATAAAGACAACCATAATAATTTAATATTCATGTATTTCTTCCATTTTGTCACAGGACTGAAATTGCTTTAAGACAGATATAAGAAGTAAGACCATTTTCCTGAGTCCCAGCAGTCTTAAAAAAATACACTCTCTTCTAGAAAGTTGCATCATAGATGGCACATTACAAAAATGTAAAACATCAGAGCCACTTCAGCCAACTTTCTCAATGTAGCCAAGGAATGCAACAATTTTTGCTGGAAGACTTAAAACACAGCACTCAACTGTTACAAACATCGTTATGCCCGTGTTTGCTCATAGTGAACATTTGAGAGTAATCTTTAAATTTCAATTATATATTAACAGCTAAATCTGCATTTTGAGTTACTTTATCACAAACAAAGCAATTCAGCTATTCTGTCCCACTCCCCCACTAGACAAGGATACAGGACAGACAGCCCATAATATTTTAAGAAAAACTATATACAGACCCCATTTATAGATCTCCACAATATTAACTATTTTTTTTCATTCAAGTTAAATTTCCTCAATTATTATACTGAAAAACTTCACAAATTGCTGAAGAACTTCAAATGAATGACAGCCACTGGTCTGTGTAAAGGGTTCAAGAAAATGCCTTTGTCCTGTAGCACAACGTGCACATCTCTGCAAGAACTCTGCATCAGCATTCACTTGACAGTCAAAAGCTCAGGTTGCCTGAGAAGGAAAAATGGGCAGTACCAGAATTACAGTGCCCAGAATTACCACTTCTTAGAAGGTTTCCAAAGCTTGTATACATATGGGAGTTTTAAGTTTTGATTAGCAACATTAACTACCTTCCCCTCCCCTGTGCTTCTAAAGTGGGCTGCATACAAGTTAAACAGAAGCTATTTTTTCATTACTATGTTAATTTAAAAGTTTAAGCTGCAATTAATTTAGGGGTTTGTTTTTTCCAAGTTTTGGTCTACACACAAGTCTACTCTGCCAGTTACCAGCTTGGCTACACCTTTAATTTATCTTTTTTTCTTGTGATTCTTCAGCAGTTGGACAAGAGGAGGTTTGCCTTCAAAAGAGTAACAGCCCCACTCTGCTGTAACCCAGACTCTGAAGGCTGAGGGAGTGACAGAACTCCCACTAGGAAAGAAGAGACAAAACCTTCAGGTGGCTCCACTAGAGAACATTTTATATTATCCAAAAATATTACAAAATACTACAGAAATAGATCTGTTTACTTATTTAGGACACCATGACCTACTTTAAAAGGTAAATCCCCAAGTATGCCCATTGACACTGCTTGGGTTTTTGGGGTGGATTTTTTGTGGGTGTTTTTTCACTCTTAAGGTAAAATTACTACTCATCAGTTAGTAGTCAGACCAACCACCAGACTCTTAAATACTCACACTGACTGCATATGTAACACTTTTCTGTAAAAACCTATATTGTAATACCACTTTTTTTTTTTTTTTCCTGAGGAAACTTGGCAATAAGGGGATTTTAAGAATTAATCTGAACAGAGGGCACAAACTGATACTCTTCCACAATCCCTGATACAACTGCAGCAACTCTCAAAAAATTGTTCCCGGTAAAGCTTTTTCCTGAGCAGCAGTTAGAAATAATACCAGATGGTGTAGCATTTTGAATGACACACACACTCAGTGACCAGAGTACAACACCAGAGTTTTACATTAAATCCAAGCTATATTTTCCTTCATAATGTACTTTAATTGGGAAGTACTTGCACTGTATCTTGGAAAAGCATACTGTATGACATTTTTTTCCCAGAGACTGCAGTATTTTGTATCTACCTGCTCAAAATACAAGTAAGTCTCATGTACAAGTGAAAAAATAAAAATGCCACTCAAAGGGCTGCAGATGTTTGAAAAGCAGTGCCTGGGTAGGCTCAATGAAGACAGGAGCATGTTCATTGGGATTTTTTAACCCATTACAGACATATTTAAGGTACCATATTTCACTTTTTTTTTTTTGCCTACTCCACCAAAGCATTCCTCTATTTCAGATACCAAGTGACAATAAGATTTTTGTCTGTCTTAGGCCAAAGTCTGAGCAAATGAGTTACACCAGAATACAGAACTCATCTGGCACAGAAGGGGACTGTCAGGAGACTGAGTGACAGCTCTAAACAGCCTGGGATTAAAAGGAACTTGGTCATCAAAAGGCACTCTCAGGTTAAGAATTGTTCCACGTTTCCGTTTTCATATTTTGTAAGGGTGACTTACAGCAGATGACATTATTTCAATATTTTCAAACAACACACTACCTCTTTTAGGATTCAGAACCTTTCAAACTATTGAGCAAACTGTCACCACTTTCTGGCTTCCTGTTATGTTGCCATTTCTGGACTCAAAGGTTACCTCACTGAACTTGTACCACAGGCAGAACACAAGACCAGAAGAAATAAGGTAACTTTAGAAAGGTATCTTTAGAAAACAAATTGTCAGTTACCCAGTTTTAAGGCTTTTCATTTCAACACAATAGCTGCAATGTTCACTACTGTAGCTGGATGCCACCCATTCAGATCAGTAACAAATGAAATATAAATTGGGCTGGTTTTAACTGTGTGATCCACACCAAAAGCTCTCACACAAGCCAGTACGAGCAGAGCAGTGTCACGGGTCACACATCCCAGCTATGCTCAAACAATGTAACCCAGAACACTTCTGCCGAGAGCCTGAACCAGCAGCACCTTTAGTACCATCAACTTGTATGAATCCTGCAGAACTGCCCGCCTGTCTTTGAAGAAACCAGCAAAAGGCTTCAAGCCTTTTTTCCACTCTTTAATGGAAACACACACACACTTATTTCGCTTTTACAAGCTGGAGAGCGGGTATGCTACAGAACGTACAAGGTTTGTGCACTTTTGAGCAATCAGACAGGAACTCCAATTGCTACTCTGCTACTAAAGCGGAGCAACACCACTGATACTTCTGTAGATTTCAGGGGTAACTCTGCATCTTTTGGTATAGAGAAAGAGGTTTTAACACACTGAGTTTAAGCATATTTAAGCAGCAACATACTCTCATCCAAAGAAACGCACTGATCAACCTATGCCCTTCCCTCTACCTCGCTTTTAATCTTTTACCTCCTTTCATGAGCCGTAAAACAGATAATTATGATATTTCGGGAAATGTTCGAATTGTTTAAACGGCTATAGTCCACGGGATGCACGGAAGGCCTAAACAGTGCTTAAAAAAAATTAAATTCTGTCTTGTAACAGTTAAGATACCTTTTCCCCAGGTGCCGGATTAATAAGCACCACTGTATCCAGAGCACAAGAGCTAAGCAGCTCTCACCGGGAACAGCTCATGAGCTTGGAATATTTTTGCTCCCCGGGCGCGACCAGGTGTTACAAGCCTCGCTCCCTCCACGTGGAAAATAAGTTCTGGAGATCACACCAGTGGGGTCCACCCAGATTCACAGGACACCCCCCTGCAGGTGCAAGCGGCCGGCTCTCCCCTCTCCCCCCGTGCCCCGAGCTCGGAGCCCAGCTCCGGGCCCACCCGGCCCCGCCGCAGGTCCTACTCACAGTCCAGGTGCTTCTTCTTGGGGCCCATCACCTCGTGGGTCGTCGCCTTGCACACAGCCTTGGCGACGGCCGAGCCGGTCACACTGTGCTGCGCCGCCGTGATGCGGTCGGTGATCGACTGCCCCGACATCATCGCCGCGGCCCTGGCGGCGGCTCCGCCGCGGTGCCCCCGCAAGGCCGGGACGGCGGCTCTCCTGCGGCCGGGGGCGAGCGCAGCCTCCCGGAGGAAGGGCGCCGGCGGCTCCCTCCGGCGGGAGCGCTCGCCGGGCTCCGCCTCAGCGGCTCCTCTCGGCCGCCGCCGCCGGGGCTCTTCCCGCTGCTCCGCGGAGGAGCGGCGGCGATCGCTCGGCTCCCAGCCCCGCTCGGCGCTGCCGCCTCCGCCCGCGGGTGCGCCCCGGCTTTCCCTTTCACATTACGCTCACAGACAAAATGGCGGCGGCCGCGGCGTCAGGTGACCGCGCGCCCGCCCCCCTCCCGCCCCGCCGCTGCCGAGCGGGGCCGGGGCCCGGCTGGGTCCGGGCCGGGACAGGAATGGGAGCGGAACGGGGCTTGGAGCGGGAAGGGGAGCGGGGTAGGAGCCGAGGCCGCCCCCCACGCCGGGCCTCAGGTGTCCGCGGGCGGTGGGACCCACCCCCGCAGCGCCGAGGCGCTCCGTGACTCGCCGCCCCCAGCACCGGAAAATCACAGAATCAATTTGGGATGGAAAAGACCTCTGCGATCACTGATCCCAGGCTGTGACCGACCACCACCATGTCCACCACACCACGGCGCTGAGTCTTTTCTTAAACACCTCAGGGCCGGTGACTCCACCACCTCCCTGGGCAGCCCATTCCAATGTCTAATCACGTTTTGTGTGAAGAAATTCCTCCAAATGCCCAGCCTAAACCCGCCCTGGTGCAGCTGCAGACTACGATCTCTCGCTCTGTCGCTATCTGCCGGGCAGACGAGGCCACTCCCCGGCTGGCTGCCGCCTCCTTTCGGGGAATTGCCGCCGCTCTTTGTTCGCGGGTGGCTGTGGGCGCAGCCCGACCCGCCGGGCCCTCACGGCGGGACAGGCGAGAGCGGGGCCGTGCAGGACCGGGGGAACGCTGGACATGAGGTTTTCATCGCCGATCACAGCCGTGTGCCTTGGAACGGACCTCTGGGATAGTCTAGTTCCACCTTCCTGCCACGGGCAGGGGCACCTGCTAGACGCGGTTACACTAGTTTGTGTGGTGATGAGTTTTCTCTTGCGGACTTTACTTTCAGAAACAACGTCTGGGGGAAAAAAAAATAGCCCAACCTCCCATGCTGAGCCTGTTTCAAGGGACTGTAGAAGCATTTAGTTTGGAAAAGACCTCTGAGCTCATCGAGTCAAAGCCTTAACCCGGCACTGCCAAGCCCACCACTGAAACTGTCACCGAGCTGTGCCACATTTACCTGTCTTGTAAATCCCTCCAGGGTTGGTGACTCCACTGCTGTCCTGTGGAGCCTGTTCCTGGCTTGACAACACTTTTGGTGAAGAAATTTTTCATACTCTCCAATCTAAACCTGGCACAACTGGAGGCTAATTGCTCTTGTCCTGTCACTTGTGGTTTGGGAGAAGAGCCTGAACCACGGCCTGGGTGCCGCGGAGCACTGCTCACATGCAGCCAAACCGCTGGTGGGTTCTCAAAACATTTCCAGCTACTGATACCCAGCACAACCCTGTGAGGGTTGCCATGAGGGAAATCCATCCCAGGCAGACCCAGTGCTGTGACAAAAGAATGCAGCATCACTACTACTCAGTCAGACAAACATTTCCCAGGCCCTTCCACAGAGGAGTATTTTTTTAACTTCTGTATTTATAGTACACTAATATAAGTGTGAACACTCATACAAACAGAAGATAGAACACGGCAATAGTTATTTTTACTCTGAAGTAAAAATACAAAAAGTAAGGAGAGTAAAAAGTAGGCAGTTGAATACAAGTGTTATAAACAAAAATCTAGCAGCTTCTGACAGTCAACTCATATTTCAGGGTGCTGATTAAAGCTGTATTGCTTACATTATCCCTAAAGTGAAACATGCCATAAATATGTGGGTAGACTGCCACAACACCAACCGCCTGCTATTGCAGTACACGTATAAAAGCATAAAGCAGGACACACTTGCATTCACAGTACTTTGTATTTCACTAGTACATAAAACTTATGTCTTTTTATAATATTTGTGTGGTACAGAAGGCTTTTCTTAGTTGCTTCAGCATATTTCTTATGGACCACGACGGGGAACAAGGACTACTGAAATATCTTCTTACCAGCTTATGCTGCATACTTAAACCATCTTTGTACCCAGCACAAAGGTTTATACATTCTCATTAACTGCTGTCCCCTGTCCTTTAACTCCCATTCTGTGGGTTTCCTCTACTCCTCCAAATGTTCATAAGAACAGGCTAAAGTTTGAGCCCATCTTTCAAGATGGGTGCTCAGGGCAGGAGAAGCAGTGTGTGAAGTTCTTGGGCACCAACACCAGCTTGGTTTGTGTCATCATTGCAGTCACTCAGTTCCTGGTGAAACGCGCTCTTTTTCAGCCCAGTTCCTTCCTGGTGGTTGTTCCCACTGTGGTTGAGTATGGAGCACTCACCTTGGCATCTTCCTGGCTGTGTCCAGAACAGTCCATGGCCAGGACCTGCCATATCAAAACCCAGCCACCACCCTCTCTGCCAGGGGGATTTAACTTGATTGCAGCAGTTTTCACATCCATGAATGACCAGTGTGATGGTCTCCATGGTCAGGTCCCCTCCTTGATCATGAGCCCATCTGTGTATTCAGCTGGTGTGGCATTCACATTCTCTGAACAGAGAGAGACATAATTCTCTCTCTCAAGTTTTTCCCTAGAGAAGCACAGAGGGAAAACAATTTTTATCTCTACTTGCTACTCCTACTGTTTTGCACGTGTGGAATGTGTTAAGAAGATTGTTTACCTGAAAGAATTTAATAATTAGATTCTAGTAGAGATTGTTTATGTTAATTAACCTATCAAGTCCAAACTGTGTAGACTGTCAGTCTGCAGACAGTCACGAGTTTTTGAGTTAGTAGTAAGTATAATATAACATACTCTAGTATCTCTCTTTAATATAGTTGTAATGTAATATAGTATAGTTTTAATAAAACAATTGTTCAGCCTTCTGAATCATGAGTCAAATGTCAGTCATTTTCCTTCCTCAAGAGCACCCTGTTTTTACTATAAGCTGGAGGGATGGGGAAAAAATTTAAATTGAATTCCAGTACACAGCACAACCCTATGAGGGAAGATCAACTCCATTATGCTGGAGAACAACAAATGCAAAGAGAACAACAAAGGCAAGCAGGGTCAGCAGCAGAGATGTGTCTTTTGATACCATTGAAAAGCACAATAACACTGAACAAATATTAGTGAATGAACTGGGGTGTGTAATGTTGTGAATGAAGGATTTCTATAGACCTAAGGACATAAATGCATTAATACATGGTCACTGATATTAAATTATTGAACATTTCCTGTGCTGGGAAAAGTTACAAGCTCTTCAGTCTCACTGGCAGCAGGCAATTTCCAGCTGCCTTATTTTTGTTTTAAGGCTTGTAGTTTCTGAGGAAAAAAGTGATCTTGAATCTTCAAAGCCTGAGGGAACATCAAAACAGTAAGAAAAGAAGAGATGGAAAGATTAAATACACATTACAAATGTCTACATCTCTTTGGGCCTGTCTAAACAGGGAAGTTCTTTTGCAATCAAGGAGGGTGTGAGCTGAAGCACAGCAGCCATTCTGTACTGCCTCCTTCCCCAGCAGGGACTCAATTTATTCTGTTTCAGAAAGCCTAAATTCCACATAAAAGTGCCTGAGTTGAGTGTTTGCCTTAGCCATGCTTCTGTCTTTACTCCATGTGCTGGCCCAGGCCCAAATCTGAGTTCAAATGTCCCTCTTCAGTCAGTGCATTGACCTGCCCTGGGCTCAGGCCATCCTGTGCACCCCCTGGATGGCTGCAGGTAGAATCACAGAATCATTTAGGTTGGAAATTACCTTTAAGATCATTAAGTCCAGCCATTAACCCAGTATTGCCACAGCCACCACTAAACCATGTACCACATCTACACAGCTTTTAAATATCTCCAGGAATAGTGCCTCCACCACTGTCCTGGGCAACCTGTTCCAATGCTTGACAACCCTTTTCGTAAAGAAATTTTTTTAATATCAAACCCGACCCTCCTCTGGCACAACTTGAGGCTATTTCCTCTTGTCCTGTCCCTTGTTACTTGGAGGAAAAATCTGTTCTTCAGGCCCTGATGTCTGCCCAGGCTAATGCAAAAAGCCTTGCTTATGGCCACTGTCCTGCACCTATGCTGTAGTTCATCTTAGTAAAGATGAAAAGTGGAAATTATATGTACAATTTACATCTCATTCATTTTGCTGCCTTCTGTTTACTACAGGGCAGGTAATGAAGGCATCAGACAGGAAATGTGGTCCAGGCTTGGATGCATATAAATAGTGCTTGGGGAGAGTGGCAGTGGAGGGAATGGATGGTTCTGGGCTTCTACCATGGCTGAATGACTCAGAAATGAGGGAAATGAGTATTTTACCAATGAGTAGTGAGTGTGCTGTGGGCTGACTCTACCTACAGCCCCGGGAATGCAAACAGTTTAGCAGCAGGTTTGTCAATAAATACCATCTGCTCAGCAGCACTGAATCCAAAATAGAGCAGAACCTACCTTACTGGAGGCTGTTGTTTTGCTGATAGAGTTGAGATAAAAAATCACAACTCAATTATTTTTTTTAATACTGTGATTGTGATCTGAAATTATAAAACTAAATTTATTCAGGCTTGCTCAATCCCAGTTTAAACCCAGGAGAGTTAAAATATTGTCATCAGCATTTTTCCTGGTGGCCAGTAAGATATCTGCATGGAGGAGTGAGCTGCAAACAAGACTGCTTCTCTCACAGTTCAGGCACTGAAGTGTCTGAGCAACACCTTGATTCCACACTGCCTGCAAGGGAAGGAAACAAACCACAGCAGCAGCAGATTTGGGATTCCAGGGGGCTGAGGTGGGGCTTGAGGCTGATTTCCTGACCCAGTACTCCAGTCATGAACAATGAGTGAATTGTCCCAGCCTTTCTCCATACAGGGGCACCAAGAGTTCTTCTTGACTCACTCCAGTCATGAACATTGAGTGAATCCTTGTCCCAGCCTTTCTCCATACAGGGGCACCAAGAGTTCTTCTTGACTCCCAGTTTTCCATGAGCTTTGCCAAAGCAGAGTGCTTTGGGGATCATTACTGCTGTCAGGTGTGGTTAAAATTGGATGAGGAGGTTTCTGGGAGAGAAACAAGGCATCAGCATCATCTATAAAGCCTAATACCAGGAGTTTCAATGTTATTTAATTAATTCTTACCTGAACAGAGACATGACAGGAAAAACTCACACACTGTTGTCCAGCTTGGATTTATGGGTACCATATTCTGCCAGTCTCTTTCAAAGATCTTTGTTTCCCTCTTCCAAGCTGTAAAATGTTGATAAGAACTTGAGCTCCAGAACTGGGACCCCCTTAGCTGGATTCATTCAAACCTTGAAAAAGTGCAAAATATAAGAACATCAGATCATGAGTCCCTTCCTCTAGGACCTCACCTCAAGACACCCTGAGCAGTGACCAGGTTTGTCTCAGGGCTGGTTTTGGAGCCCACAAGATGCTAAAATTGTACACAATCCCTGGGCCTTTAAGCCCCTTTTCCAAGCACCCTGCAGACATGACATTTATGCTGAGCAGTGTAGGAGTGCTAAAGCCACACACTGTTGTCACCTCTCCTGTCACATGAGGGAAGAAGGTCTCACTTCTCTGTCCCTCCCATTCAGCCCCTGCCGAGGAGCAGTGGCTGGGGCAGGACTTGGCCCTGGGA